TTACAATCTTGTGTTTGGTCTTCGTTTGCTATTACCTTTTTAGTAAGAGTTGCCAGCTCTATATCTAAAAAGGATGTGTAATAAAAATTCCCCTTTTGTTACAGATGTTTATGGGCGGCAGTGATCAAAATGAAAAAAAAAACATGCTATGTTATCGAACGGTAGCCGAGGTGATGGCTGTCACATACGTCACATTATTGAGAAAAGATCTTGCTCATGGAAGTTTGTTTAAACAAATACAGTAGGAAGTGGAGACGTTTTTTTATATAGTGGTTGATGTGGCCCATAGACATCTACATCTATCCTCGATTACGAATCAAAATGCAGATGCGTTGTTACCCGTGAGGAGTAAGATGGAATGCCTAGTTTCCAGTAAAAAGGGTCTCCGGTTCTCTACACTCACCATACGAAGTACAGCAGCGTTAAGCTGATATTTTACGCAGGTATTCTGCGAGAGCGTACTCATTAAAGCTACAATTATACCAGTAGTATAGCTGCAGAATGGCTCCTCAATTGAAATATTCTTTATGATAGTTTTTTTTATAAAAATTGTATGAGAAATGCTAACCTCATATCATTAGTGGATGTCGAATGAAGCGACAGAGGTAAGCTAAACTAGAATTTGAACAGCAGCATCTTCCTGCTGCAACAACAGCTGCATAATAAAAAAAAAGTTCAGTTACTGACCCGCTTGCCAAGTGTGGTAATCATGGCAAATGAGGCAATGGCCATGGAATTGGCCTATGTTAAGCTGGAGACTTTTAACAGGCTGTAATGGTGATGGTGTCAACCCCCAAATATATATAGAACATGGTAGGAGCCGTGACAGATCAGGGACTTTACACTCACTGTAATTTTTACAGTACGCAAGTATCCCGGGTTCGATAACCGCCGGCACTAATATGAACCACTTGTTCGGTGGTGAAGAAAGATATGCATGTGAGAGGAATAAATTATTACTTCAGTTGAGTAAATCCTTGTCAGATTCGAGCACAGGCGCAGAGCAGCCAACCTCCCGGTGTTCTACAGGATGCATTTCCTGAGAGTTTGTACAGGAACTATGCTTTATATAACTGTGCTTTAATATCTCCCTCTAGACATGTGTAGATCACTCATTTCTAGCGAACGGATCATTCTAGTACATTTCGTCACGCGTACCGGTACATTCGGATCGATCATTCAAATGGATCCTTTCTGGCTCCAGTACCATCCAGTACTCTGTGTCTGTAAGATCCATTGGGAACAAATGGGAAAAAAAATTTTTATGACTTTGTAATGCTATCATCGCCATCTACTGCATGTTATAGGTAATAAAGCATTTTATCGAACAAAAATTTATGGATTTTCAAGGTGGGAAGTCCAAAAGATGCTAGATGGCATAAACACAAAAATTTCAATTGATTTGATTTAATTGATAACTTTATTTATTATTGTTATTATTATATATTTTATTAATTTAATAAATTTGTTTATTTTTAAATTTCATTCATAACTATACTTAATTTCATCGATTCTTATAAATTTACTTTGCATTTAGGCCATCTAGCATCTATTGAGCGTACCACCTTAAGTCTCATCCATTTTGGTTTGATTTCGATAAAATGAGAATTGACTTTAACTATAGATCGAATAAGATGGCGCTATTTATTTCAAAGCAAAGCATTGAAAACAGCAATTTTAGTAAAAAGAAGATATTGTTTTCATCTAATATTATAAAATTTAGACTTCACATGTCTAAAAATAAGGATTGTAATGTTTATTTGCTATAAAGTACTTAATATGATGATTTTCTTATAAGATAAAAGTTTATCTTATAAGAAAATCATCATATTAAATAAATAATTTGCCTTGAAATCTTTTGAAGTGTTATTTTTAGTAACCCCACGAAACTAAGGTGTTTTTAAAGTCCTTTTTTATACGCCTTTACCACGAAATGATATTTTTAACTCATAGATGCAACAATCAAATATAAGTAATAAACAATTAAATGTAAAATATTTTTTTATTTTACTTATATAATAATAAAAACCCTTATATAATAAATACTCTTGATACCACCTAATACTCAGCTGTAGGTAATCAGCTCAGCAGTCTGCGTTGAGCAGTGTGCATTCGATTTGCTTTGCTTGTCTCTTGAAGTAGTTTAGTTTTCTGAAGGTTTCGTTCGTTTCTTCCTTATGTTTATTTTTAATAGCTTAACATATTTATGAGATATTTTGTCAGTAATATTTTAGTAAGTATATTCTTTTAGGTGTTCAATAAAACAATAACATTTATTTAGCTGAATTTGGTGATGGTGGTTTTAATCTAAGGTTAATGGTGGCTTGTAATCTCATTTTAAAAATTGTAAATTGAAAATTAACAGTTAAAATGTCTACGCCTCAAAACAAAAGGAGTGAAATTTGGAAACATTTTCCCAGCATATGGCCAGCAGCGTGCCCTGTGAACGCATATTCTCCAAAGCAGGGTTAACTATATCTTACAAACGTAGCAATTTGAAGCCCAATAAGGCAGAGCAATGTTTATTTTTAAATTATAACTTGTAAATATTTATTTAAATAGACTTGGTGATATAACCTAAAATCTTGGTTAAATAAAATGTGGTCTGTGTATTCTCAGACCAAAACATGAGATAATCATTAACCAAATGTCACCTTTGCAGATGTAGACCCCTTTCTACAATTCTTTTTTAAATTTTATTTATAAGAAATAAGAATTATACAACTAAAATTCCAAAAATTTTATTATATTGTCTCTTACCAAATAACAAAAATCATTTATAATGATAAAAATTATTAGTTTTTAAATTTCATCTGAACATTTTTATATGCTTTATTTGTGGCAATTGGTTGTCTAATTTTAATCTAATAACATCTAATCCATTTAGGATTCTAACAATCACATTACACCAGTTCCATAAACATATTTTTGTTCTAATGTTCTTATAGAATTTGTCCAAAAGGCATTCATTCTCCGATGAGTTCCGATCCGATGAGACAGGTTACAACTTGCCTTAAGGGTTTCCATTTGTTATCCCGTATAACAATAGTCATGCTTATCACACCTGAAAAACAAAGATAATGATTATTTTGGCTTTACTTCAGTTATATTCACATAAAAGTAGATATTAATCAACGTTTTTATTTACACTAAAAAGGGCATTGTTAGTGATAATGTATTTTCATATTTTAGTAAGTTGAACTTCATTATTTAAATTTCTGAGGAATGAGATATTCATCATTTATAGGTATTATTTTACTGCATGTTAACATTCAGATAAACAAACATCTAAATGTCATATCATTTTTAGATTTAATATAGTATTTTCTCAAGAAAATAATTTCTTATTCTCAGAAGATTTGAGGATCAAATATAATCTTAAATCTTTTAGCCTTTTATTATGATTGTGTCATCTAAAATGAAAACAGACTTTTTGTATTGGTTAACAAGCAATCAAAATAATAAAAATACACTTATGCTAATTTTAACACTGAAAGTTTAATTTCATTTACTTAATTATCTTACCAGTATTTTCCTTGGCCAATATTTTTTTCTAGAATCTTCTTTCATCCTTCAACTTAATGGCTGATTGGAATGATGTTCTCTGATCTAATACCAGACCTAGAGCCACAGGAATTAATCCGGTCCTTATTACCTTCTCTATCACTTTCTCTACAATATTTTTTATTATCAGTGCAGGTGTAGCTACTTGATAAAAATAAAGTGCTTTCTTATGACACATAAAGAACTTTCCACGTTTGCATTGCACTTTGCAGCTTCTCTGAACTGAGCTACTTCAATCTTGCACAATTATAAAAGAACGTTAAATTAATCCTATCCTCCATCTACGAGTACACTTCATCGTCAGATCATCACAGAGACCGACCACACCGGGGAATCCAGAATACAGATATCTAACTTTGATTCCGATTTAATTTGTTTGATTGACGTATCGTATTTCGATTCGTTGTTCATTTCATCTTTATAGCTTTATACCTCTCGCCAGAGATTAGTTAGTATTTACTATTTAGTAATAGTACCTATGTTCTGTATCTGTAATTCTGTTTCCCTTTTCCTTGCTCTGTACGAATAGTGTAGTGTTACCTATTCTAGCCGAATCCAAGTCGCCAAAAATTTGACGCAGAATAAAAGATGAAAGTTTTAAAAAGTCACCCAATTTTATAAGAAATATTTTAAGAAAATGCTTTAATTTAAACTTATGTTAGGTACCTTTAGTGTTATATTATTCATCAGAAGTAATAAGGATTGTAAGCATAAGAAGTAGACTACAAAGGAATTAAAAAATACTTAAGAAGTCAGTTGCAATATCTACATTTTATTATTTTCTAATAAAAGGGTTATAGAATAAATATCCTTTACAATCGCCTTCTTTCTTAGATAGCCTACTCGGAGACTAGTAGAAAATCACAATCTTGGTCGCTCCGATTACTTTAAAACTAGCCTAAATAGCTAAATATCGCCTAACTTGGCAACATTTCCGAATGCGTGCACTGATTATACTGCACTGGTACACCCTACATTAAAACAATTCATTCAGATCTTTCGGGATTCGGTCGGTTTGCGGCTCATTCACAATTCAAACAAATCGCCGGTTAAAAAGGTACCGTCAATTGTTTGTGATTGGTTGTACTGGTACATTCAAAAACGAATGAATGATCCATCAATACTTTTAAGTGTTCCAGCTCAAACGAACGAATCATGCATGATTGACACATGTCTATCTCCCTCCTTTCCAGCTTCGGATTAACAAGCGTTTGACTTTCAGCCCTCTGTTTTTGATTGACCGATGAAGAGCTATCCTATAGCAGAGACATCTATATATAAACAAGGCTGTAGTTTTTGAGTTATAAGAAAGTGACCAAATTAACCGGATGACAATACTACCTTCACGTACTGTACGTGAAGGTAGTATTGTCATCCGGTTGTCATCATGTTGTAGTGTATGGAGTATTAAAATTGTTACAAGTGTATAAATAGTATTATTTGTCAAGATTATCGGGTGAAGTGGTGGTTGTAGCAAATGCTACGCTGTCTTTCCTCCTCCTCAACCCGCTGATCTGGCAGATTTCACAATTATCAGCGATTATTACGTAGCATCTGTAGTGAAATCGCCAATTTATAATTATTGAGCATATAACTAAATAAATAAAATAAAAATACGTCTTAAATTGGACGAAGCTTAATATATTCAGCAGTAAATTGTTGCACGATGATAAAGTCACTATTAAAATAAAAATATTATTCGAGTTTCACAGTAACGACGCATAATTCCAAATTACGCTTGGACATCTCTAGCGTTCTTAATAAAAGAGATTTATTACCGAACGCTTACTATAAAATGGACATAAAATATCGCGTCCAATTTGTACAAATTATACAAATAAAAAATAAAAACTTGCCACGATCCGATTTAAGGTACGACAGATATAATAAAATTTCTGCGTTTTGCTATTAGCTTTTTTTTTATTTATTCGTGACCATGGTTGCGAGGACCTTCAGTCGAAAACATTACAGTATAACACAAATCATACATCAAATTAAGTATATATAACTTTAGCAATAACAATTTAGAATGGTTTTCCATCATTTTTCTACTTTTTTCCCTATTATATAAATATAGAACAGACTAAATTACAAAATGAACTAAGAAGCTATTTACAAACATTATCAATTAACTAAGGACACATAAATAATTAAAGTTTTCCTACAGTATTAAGTATAAATTTAAATAGAGGCATGAAAAAAACTACATCAGTTAATAGATCCTGAACGCGGCGGGGAACACTTATAGAATTTTCTTCAGCGACATCACTAATTTCACTGACAAGTGTCAACCTATGAATCCCAAACGACGGGCACTGGAAAATTATGTGGTTTATGTCTGCATTATGTTGAGCGCAATGTGTGAATTTGCCATCGGCTACGATCTTCATTCTGTACAGATGTGCAGGGACGAGGCAATGGCCAAACCGCAAGCGGTTAATGATCGTTATGAACTTTCGGCCTGTGTATTTAAAGCGGTTGTACCACGGAATCTTTGGTAAGTTTGGCTGTAATTCTGCGTACCATTTTCCCTTATTCACGGTAGTAATGTTCCAGTAATCCTTCCACAGTTTCTTTGACAAGATTTTAAAGTGTTGATAATAATCTGTGAAGGGGACTTTACAATCTTGTGTTTGGTCTTCGTTTGCTATTACCTTTTTAGTAAGAGTTGCCAGCTCTATATCTAAAAAGGATGTGTAATAAAAATTCCCCTTTTGTTACAGATGTTTATGGGCGGCAGTGATCAAAATGAAAAAAAAAAACATGCTATGTTATCGAACGGTAGCCGAGGTGATTGATGGCTGTCACATACGTCATTATTGAGAAAAGATCTTGCTCATGGAAGTTTGTTTAAACAAATACAGTAGGAAGTGGAGACGTTTTTTTATATAGTGGTTGATGTGGCCCATAGACATTTACATCTATCCTCGATAAATAAACAAAATGAAAATGCCTTGTCACCCGTGAGGAGTAAGATGGAATGCCTAGTTTCCAGTAAAAAGGGTCTCCGGTTCTCTACACTCACCATACGAAGTACAGCAGCGTTAAGCTGATATTTTACGCAGGTATTCTGCGAGAGCGTACTCATTAAAGCTACAATTATACCAGTAGTATAGCTGCAGAATGGCTCCTCAATTGAAATATTCTTTATGATAGTTTTTTTTTTATAAAAATTGTATGAGAAATACTAACCTCATATCATTAGTGGATGTCGAATGAAGCGACAGAGGTAAGCTAAACTAGAATTTGAACAGCAGCATCTTCCTGCTGCAACAACAGCTGCATAATAAAAAAAAAGTTCAGTTACTGACCCGCTTGCCAAGTGTGGTAATCATGGCAAATGAGGCAATGGCCATGGAATTGGCCTATGTTAAGCTGGAGACTTTTAACAGGCTGTAATGGTGATGGTGTCAACCCCCAAATATATATAGAACATGGTAGGAGCCGTGACAGATCAGGGACTTTACACTCACTGTAATTTTTACAGTACGCAAGTATCCCGGGTTCGATAACCGCCGGCACTAATATGAACCACTTGTTCGGTGGTGAAGAAAGATATGCATGTGAGAGGAATAAATTATTACTTCAGTTGAGTAAATCCTTGTCAGATTCGAGCACAGGCGCAGAGCAGCCAACCTCCCGGTGTTCTACAGGATGCATTTCCTGAGAGTTTGTACAGGAACTATGCTTTATATAACTATGCTTTAATATCTCCCTCCTTTCCAGCTTCGGATTAACAAGCGGTCAACTTTTAGCCCTCTGTTTTTGATGTTCCACGCAATAAAATCAAACGGTTTGCTTCGTCTTTAGTATAATGGGTACAGCAGAAGTGTAGAATATTTAGCTGGCGTTTGTGTTGTCGATGGATTACAACTGGACGCCTTTTTTTTTGCGCCCGAAGCAAATAAGGGCAATCCTCCGGTAACGGGGGAGGGAGGTGGTGAATGCTCATAGCATACCACGCAGCCGGCTGCGTGGTTATGTGGAGACTTTTACCCACTAAACTCCACCTTTTTGGGATTGGCTTATCGATCTGACGAGAGATCTTTAAGCCGTAAACGGACGCGACCCTCCTTGGCAGAAAGGAGGGCGCAAGCAGAAAGGAGGGCGCAAAATCTGGGCGCCTTCAAGATAAGACTGAATAGGCTTTTGTTACGCTAAGATAGTGCGATTTACCATTTGAGTTTCATGACAAAATGATTAAATAGAGTTCCACAAACTCAGTCCGATTTTTTCAATTTAAAGTTTATGCGAACTTGAACATCCTGTCTTCTTTTATATATTTGTAGGCCCGATGTATAAATACGAGTTAAAATACGTTAAAAAAGTAAAACCCGACTTCAAAAACTAAATAAAAATGAAATAATTTCCATACGTTACATTCTGAAGTTTTGACATTACGATAAAAAGGACTTAAGAAGCCGGTTATTGAACCTCACTTTACTCTTACTATTACTATTTGTCATCAGTTGGGATTGTACTAAGGATACTAATGTTGTGTTAAGGTATTGGGACTAGTAGCGTGATATTGGTTACAACGGGTCGCGTTTGAATCCCGCACACAACCAATATATTGTGTGATCAACTACTTATTATTCTAGCAGTGCGATTGTGTAACTCTTGGGGAAAATCGCTCCGCAAAGTGCGTGCATTATGTTTATTTTTCAGATAATAGCTTGCAACGTAAAATAAGTTTCATCCACTACTTTATATCGTCCCGTGGGTGTACTAAGAGGTGATAGAGGGAAACAAATCACATGGGCAGGAGCGTCACCATAATAAGGGCTAAAAATAAAAATAAACCACGGTTGCCAACCCGCTTGCCAAGCGTGGTATGGTAACTATGTTAAATGTCCCCTCTATGAGGCAATCTATGGAGGAGACCTGGGTGCAGTAGTTAAGAACAACTAATAACAATTTTAGAGTTAGAGAGACTATTATTTCATTATTTTAATTCATTTTTAATTATGATTCAAATCAATTCCAAACGTAAATTATCAATAACTTAACTTCTACTTAACTACATTTAATATTCGCGTTCTTTGATCTCATGTAATTTGTGATATTAATTTTTTACTCATAAAATGGTGACTCTGATTTTGGTAATATAAAATAAATTAATATGATTTTATATTCATAATTTTTTTATACTTTTTTCATAAATCTTGACATCGCACTTTAATATCTCGCCAAAAGTTTTCTAGTATTAGATGAATACACAGAAAATGTAATTTAGATTTTTAAGAAAAATACAGGATTTTATTCCTTTGCCTTTGTCCAATCTATTTTAAAGTACAGCAATCTAATCTATTTTAAAGTAGACTTTAGTATTATGTTAAAGTAATATAAAAAAGATACATAAATATACAAATACAAAAAGGCATTTAGTAGTGTCGCCGCGGCGTCAGAGAATCTCCCAAGATACTCCATAGTTATCATAAGATGGAATATAGAAAATCCAAAACAGTAGATGGGCAAAAGTAAATTAATAATATTGTAAAACTGCACAGTAAAAACTGGATAATATCTCCTCTATAATGGACGACACACACTGTCAGTTCAACTGATCATTCCAACTGATCAGTTCAAACTACATAACTGATATATTAAGAAAACAATAGCAAACAAGCTTTGGCAATAATTAGGAACACTTCGAAAAATCAACTTAAAAAAAACTACGCTACACCATACTAAAATCGACTAAAATATTTGCTATAATATCAACTGTTAGAATGGCGCCGATAAAGCAGCGCACTTTTGACCCTTTATTATTTGATTTTCATAATAAGAAAGTGACCATATTAAACGGATGACCATGTTACCCTCACGTACTCGTTGTATATTATATTAGGCTTTAACGTAATTTACAAAATAAGTAATATGAGTTTGTTTTCCTTTATAACTATTAAATATGAATAAAAATATTAAACCATAGTATAAATTTAATCTATATAAAATGTTGCACAATATTAAAAAAAATATATAAAGAAAATCTAAAAAAAAAATTAAATAATCATACAGTTCTACTCCCCATAGTATCGTTCCAAGAACGCTGGCAGCGTTTCCTCGCTGTATGGTTATACTTAGCCTTTTGAGGGAGAAATATATATATATATATATATATATATATATATATATATATATATATATATATATATATATATATATATATATATATATATAAACTACTTAACCGATTTTCATTAAATTTGCACACCGTTTGTAGTTTGGTCCAACTTCTCCCAAGTTGGATAGAATAATTTTTTTTGCGAATTTAAGGATTTTTAATAGGACATGACACAGGGTCGTCGAAAAGGACAGAACAACGTCTGCCTGGCATGCTAGTATATGTATATATTCTTATTAAATTTCAGTTTCTTTATATGTTTAAAACTAATAGTATTTTTTTTCTGATTAATTATAATTTTATTTTTATTTGTAGCACCTATCACATTATTTCCATACGTCCCAGGAGTCCACCCATTGTAACTTTTTTATTAGTGTTGTACAATAAAGTATAAACTAATCAAAGTAAATAAATATATTTCGATGTCTTTTTTATTTATTGATTCATTACAGGCTTCAATAAAACTAACTTTTATGGATTTTATTGCGTTTAATTCGACTTATTTTTAAATTTCGAGGTTTCGGGTGCTTTACTGTCAAATTAAACGCGATTAAAGTTGTAAATTAATGTGTGTATGTTATAATTCGTGTAAATAAAAGAAGTCATCATTACTGCGTATTAAAAGTCCACTTGCTGAACGTAGGCCACTCACATACTTTGTCAAATGGACTACTCGGTCAGTTCAACTGAATCATTCCAACTGATCAGTTCAAACTAGGAATGCTGGCTGATATTTTTTAAAATATAGGATTTTCGATATGTCGATACATATAAATATAGATATCAATATCGGAGTTTTGTATATAAGTTTATTTATCGATATCATAATGGACACATAAACGATCAGACCCGAAACAGTTATTGTTGCCCGTAAAATACATGTTCAGTGCGGGAACTCGCAGCCCTCAGCGCAACTCAGCTAAGCCATTGCGCCATGGGGTCCTCTTTCTGAGGTTTTGGGGTAAATTTAAGGTGTTTGATAATATAGAAAACAAAATAAGACACAAATATTTCTTCGAACTATTTATTAGCAATATGTAACTTATTTGTTGTTTTTTTGATGGATTGCAGGAAATCACTGCAACAGAAAAAATAAATCCTATTAGTATCGATGAAGAATGATCAATACAGCCTTCACTGTATTGATCATTCGCCTTTTTTAACCATCTTCAAAAGGAGGAGTAACTCAACTGGACTGTATTTTTTCATGTGTCTTATGTTAAAATGTCCGCCGCGCTGTTCCAAGTTTTTGGCGAACTTAAAATGTCGTCTTAGTATTTTTTTATTATTTCATGCATGCAGGTTGTTGCTCACGATGTTTTCCTTCACCGCCGAGCACGTGGTAAATAAACTCTTCAAATTGCAATTATCAATTTATTTATTGGTTGCTCGCGTACTGTGAAATTTACAGCGAGCGTTTAGCCCGTGAGCTATAAGCTAGCTACAAGCTTGAAATTTATTTTTTAAATTTAAATCGCGGGTTTTAATTTAACAAACACGACCCATTCCAGGAATATGGATACTTAATTAGGTAATAGAAATAAAAACGTGCTGCTTTTGTAAGATCCAATAAATATTACGATGAAAAACATTTAGTTCATCGATCAAAACTTTACAATGTTGCCTCGTTTTATAGTTTTCTCATAAAAATTACCTATCAAAAGCTTTGAACTGTCAAAAATGCGACAATTTCCGGTCGGTAAATATTTTCTGGCCGTATTTAATCTGTTGTTCAAAGTGTCATTCGAGGAATAAGTATAAAATGTTGCATAAAAATATCCTGTTCTATCTTTTTTTTAATGTCCGTAGCAAACGATTGGTTGCCTCGTTGGTCTAATGTCATAAACGGTTACTGATTATAAGGTCCTGATTCGAATCCCTGGTCGGGACTAAAAAATCAATTATTGAGTTTTACTGTCAAGAAATTTTCAATCGCAGCCTGGAGTCAGGAAGCTGGTGGAGTCTCACCACCGCACCTCGGAAAGCACGTAAAGCCTTTGGTCCTGCGCCTGATCTCTCTCCGGTCGTGTCGGTTTACCGTCCCATCGGATTATGAGAGTGAGAGGGAATAGAGAGTGCACCTGTGCTTGCGCATACACTTGGGTACTATAATCCTGTCCTGCGCCGATGGCTAGTCTCCGTATGGCTAGTCAGGAGGACATTATTTTGGACAAAATTTGTTAAATATTAAGAAATCCGCGGCCGCAGTGGGACATACATAATAAGCTTCACCTTTACTTTTATTAAGTGGACACCTGAACTATGCTAGTCTTACCGTAAGATTTGGGGCAAGTCGGGTGCTTGGCACAAGTTATTATGGCCGAGCCCTCGCCCGCGCTCGAAGCCGTGCAGCAAGATGGGTGCCTCTGAACCCACGGCTCGCCTGGACCTCTCCGCACTGTCGTACAACTGAAAGGTATTTCATCATTGTCATCATTACGACTTTTCATAGACCTCCCACAAGGAATGCCACAAAGCACGCTCCTGAGCCACCTAAATCCATCGACTTCTTACCATGTCGGATGTCTTACCAGGTCGTTATTCCATCTAGTGGAGAGACACCCTACACTTCGCCTGGCTGGTACGAAGCTGCCACTCAAGAACCTTTTCTCCCCATCGGTTGTCGGTTCATCGAGCTATACGGCCGACCCATTCCAACTTCAGCTTACCAAACCGTTAGGCTATGTCGTTTACTCTGGTTCTCCTGTGGATATCCTCGTTTTTAAGTCTTTCACGAAGAGAAACCCCAAGCATTGCCCTTATCATAGCTCACTGAGCGACCTTGAAATTCCTCATACGGCCAGCAGTGAAGGACCACGTCTCAGATCCTCACTTGCAACGCGCACTAGTAGTACAATCTTGTATTGAGGTTTTGAGACAATATGTCTGACGAGAAGATGAGTCGTAATATCCCGAATACTGCACAGCCGAGTAGAATCCGTCGATTGACTTAACGGTCGAAGTTAGACTTACCTAGTCGGAATATTTGTCCCAATAAACATACACGTCAACAACATCGAGCTCCCAACCACTACCGGCATAGGTGTGACATGCACGTTGACTTTTGTTTTTGTTTTCTACATGTTCATCTTAAGACCTATCCGTTGGCAAACACTATTGAGGTCATTATGTCTATTGCTTAGATCCTCCAGCGATTCTGCCATAAGGACTATATCATCGGCAAATCGCAGGTGAGTGATGTACTCGCCATTGACGTTAATACCGTATCATTTGCAGTACAGTAGCTTGAAAACGTCTTCCAATGCAGTGGTGAAGAGTTTCCGGGATGTAACGTCACCCTGTGTTACACGCCTCTGCAGTTGGATAGGTTTCGTACTCTGGTTGTATACTCGGACAGCCATCGTATCCCTACTGTACCAAACACGTCAAGCACTTCGATATACCGACAGTCAACTTGGCAATGCTGGAGGGACTGCAGAACCGCCCAAATTTGGACGCAATCAAAGGCTTTCTTACAGTCCACCTACCTACGCAAGACAATGTGGCAGATTATACTCTACCGTCTACCGTACAATTTGGCGTAGAGTATGTATGTGGTCTATGGTACTAAAGCTCTTTCGGAAACCGGTTTGTTCGGGAGGCTGGAAGTCGTCGTGTCTACGTGGGAGACGATTCGTAATGACTCTCGAAAACAACACTAAAATGTATTTACTCGTAACAGTTAGTAATATGGATGCTCCTTTTTTTAATTATTCTTAGCCGGAGGTAACTACTATTGCACCAGATGGTAAGCCTACTCTCTACTACTACTCCTACTCTTGCTTTTAAGATATTATAAGTGGATGGAAAGACAGATGCTGGCAACTTATTTCACTCATTTCCTGTATATATTACGAAAGACGAAGCAATCGGCCTTACGTTGCTGTTTTTTAGGGTGACAAACGAGCACACAGTCCACGTGATGGTAAGTGGATGCTGTGGCTCATAGACATCTACATTTATCTCCAATTAAGAATCAAAATGCAGATGCGTTGCCAGCCCTGAGGACTGACATGAAATGCCTCGTTTCCAGTAAAAAGTTTCTCTGGTTCTCTACACTCACCATACGAAACACAGCAGCATTAAGCTGCTATTTGACGCTGGTATTCTGTGAGAGCGTGGTCCTGCCCCGCTAGAGCCGATCTATTCGTGCTGCAACTACGATGCAGCTGCATCGTGGCTCTACTAGGTAAAAATTTTCGTATGGTTAGAGGTTTCGTAGAGAACCGGAGACCCTTTTTGCTGGAAACAAGGCATTCCATCTTAGTACTCAGGGGTTACAACGCATTTATATTTAAATTATAATCAAGGATTATGCAGGTGGATAGCAGGTGGAGTGTGTGCTCGTTTGTCACTTTTATTCTAATTTAAAAAGAAAACTTGCTTGTGCTAGGATGCGTCGCTCTTCCAAGTTACACAATCGACTGATCATCATCATCATTACAACCCTTCACAGAGCAACATTCCGTAAAAGGTCACCACTGAACACACAATTATAGACTTAAAACCATGTTGTTGGTTGGTTTTAGATGAATACTTGAGCGTATTCTTACAATAAGGTGAAAGTGGTTTTCGCTTAGTTTTTGCGTCACTTTAAATGAACCCAGGACACCGTTTTACTTTATTTGTTCGTCGGAGGGTCTTGATTCAGCCTTTTGTAGGTTCTCTTGCGAGAGCTTTACGCAATATTTGATCAAACGTTCTTGTAGATAAACGAGAACATTATTTGTACAGCGGATAGTTGTGTTCCAAGATTTACAAGGTACGAATGTCAGTTAGCACATTTTGTTATTGGCCTCTTCATTGGATATGTATGTAGACACTGATAATGTAGTAACCGTGCGGTGTAAGAATATCCACGAGCCCATATCATCCCTGGGTGTCGTAAAAGGCGACAGAGGGGAACAAATCAGGAGATGGGCAACAGCGTCTTCTTCATAACATCAAGAATATAATGAACTGCGGTTGCTAACCCGTCCGCCATGATTTGCAACCATAAAATACTATAATACATACATAATGAACGGGGGAGTGGGCGAAGCCCGTGTAACCACTAAAATGTCACTAATATGTCAATTCACACGCATAAATGTCAACACGAGACGCGTTTTGACGTGACATACATTTCCAAATTTCGCATGCAAATTATTTAGAAAATACCAAATTGCACGCTATTTAGGTAGCTACATATAAATATGTATTAAAATTTAAACGATTTTTTAATGATGATTTTAAACATTAATCAAAACTCTAAAATCGATAAATTTTTTCAGTCTGTCAAAATATCGAATCGGGTTTGTGGTAGTGATAGCACGACGTAATTGATTGTATGTTGTGTGCTCCCGGCGATACCAATTCTCGTACAAAATAAGGTTGACAGCCATTCTATTGTGTATTATAGTATTCTATGTTTGCCACTATGGCGAATTTCCTCCTTATGAGGCAATATATGCCCAGCAGTGGACTTTAATAGGCTGTAATTAATATAGTGTTTAGTAAACAAATCTCAATAAATTGTGTACCTTAACAGCGAGATCATAAGGCACAATCTTGTCGCTCTTGGAGTGCAGTATGAGAATAGGCACGTGGGGAACCGACTCTAAATACTGGTCCGTAGTAAACGAGTACTCCGACGACGAGGCGAAGGGATCCAGAATGGTTGTTTTGTAATATGGAAGCCAGGATACCAGCTGAAATAGAAATTTAAATTGTATTTTCAGCAGGGTACACCCTCTCATTTCGGATATGGTTTTAGCACAAATGTCCGCCGGCCAGTTTGTGGTTTATATCATTTCTGCATTACATGGTAAAATTTTTCGACGCAAGAAATTAAATAACATTTTTTAAATCTGCTATGTTCATTATCTTCTTCATCAGCCTGTATAAGTTTACGCGCTGCACATGGGTCCCTCCTCCGTTCGGTTATAGGAATAATTTGCCTTAATCTTCAACGCTTGGCAAACGGATTAACGATCCCACTACCAGAAATATCGTACCTTTAACGTTTCTCCACGTGAATATTTTTAGGTAATTTCTAAAAAGTAGTAGGTTTTCTATTCGGTTAAGTTTTCTTTTGCTTGTAAGTTACTAGATATCGCTAATATAGATATAGAGTCGTGGTAACTCAGATGGTTAGAGCTCGCTGTAAATTTCACATTACGCGAGCACCCCGGGTTCGATCACCACCGGCATCAATAAAATAGTTAATTGCAATTTTATGTGGTGATTTGTCACATGCTCGGCGGTGAAGGAAAACATCGTGAGAAACCTGTACGTCTGAGAATTAAAAAAAAATTTTTCAAAGTCACGTGCAGTTCGACAACACACATTGGGGCAGCGCGGCGGACACTTCCTTGCCCTAAAACCCTATCAGAAATTAGAGGACCCCTGCGCCCAACAGTGGGACGTATATAGGCTTGTAACTTTACTTTACTTTTAGGATTATATTACCCATATAAATATGGAGAAAAAATCCACCCCTAATGATGGACGCTTAGGAGAGATAGGTGATTAAGTTATAAAAGTAACCTCCTTTGTTCCATCCTTTCCTATGTCCAGGTATGAAGGTTAAGAAATCCGGTATAAATACAGGTTGTGAGGTATATTATCTTAATTACAAGTAGTAAGTTTACAGGAGTCGCTATCCATAAGGTAGACTGTTAATTCGTCTGAAGATGTGCGGTGGACCAGGGTTTTCCAATCATAACCGGACATTCATTAGATTTAAATTAAACTTGGTCTTATTGTAATTAAAGTCTAAGGAATGTCCTGTTAATTGATTAAAACTACTTTTACGGATTTTATCGCGTTTATTTTACTATTATTTTTAATTCCCGACGTTTCGGGCGCTTTCCAGCACCCATGGTCACGGGTCATCTCAGTCCCCCGTGACCATGGGTGCTGGAAAGCGCCCGAAACGTCGGGAATTAAAAATAATAGTAAAATAAACGCGATAAAATCCGTAAAAGTAGTTTTAATCAATGTGTAGTGTTCGCGTAAATATAAGAAATCATAATGTCCTGTTAAGATTGAGAAACAGGGCCAATTTAACCGCCATGTTGTAAATTGGCTTTTGCAGATATTAGTTATTAGAAAACAACCTTTGAAAACGGATGACTTTCGATTTCTTCAATGAGATTGTTGAAAGGCGCCTCCAGGATAAGGGCATCTGGCGGTGGCAGACATCTCTGACCCAGATCTGCACACAAGGTGGACAAGTTGGCCACCAGATTCGCGGCCACAGCGGTACCTAAGACAGGAATTAAATGAGAAATAATAAGATACTTTAAAGCTTTTTTTTTTAACTACTATACGCTTCTGCTAGTATGTTATTGTTAGTTACCTGATGGTAAGTGGTAACACAGACGAAGATGGTAAGATGGTAAGTGGTCATACATACGAAGATGGTAAGATGGTAAGTGGCCATACAGACGAAGATGGTAAGATGGTAAGTGACCATATAGACGAAGATGGTAAGCGGCCATACAGACGAATATAGTAAAATGGTAAGTGGTAATGGAGATGAAGATGGTAAGATGGTAAGTTGTCATACAGACGAAGATGATAAGATGGTAAATGGTAATACAGACGAAGATGGTATGGTATGGTATGGTATGGTAAAGCACACCTTAGCTTAACAAAAATCTATTCACATTAAACACTCTAGTCTTGAAAACACCTACAATATTATCAGATGGAAAGACAGATGCTGGCACAATATATATATATATATATATATATATATATATATATATATATATATATGTATATATATATATATATATATATATATATATATATATATATATATATATAAAAAATTATGCATTGCTGTGATCGATTTTTTTTGCCTTTCCCCGTGAGTGTCGTTAGAAGCGACAATGGGAATACCAACATGGTCTTATGGCTTCTGATAGATCACGGTGTAACCATTTTGATTGCGCCTGGCCTGAAATACTCAGTCCGACGACGGGAAGTAGCATCAACGGTGTCATCATACTACGAATTATCTATGCGCCTGTCGAACGTGACACTCTCTTACGAGGCAAGAAACCTAAAAAGAAAATGACTTTTACGGGCTGGTGAAGCTACTGGCTAATGGTTTTTTTTTATAGAATGAGGGTAACAAACGAATTCACAGCCCATCGATGGTAAGTGGATACTGTGAACAATAGACATACTATACATTATTCTCGATTAACAATCAAAATGCAGCAGTGGACTTGTGAAGGGCTGTTATAATGATGATGCCAAGCATATTTGCGTTCGTTAACGTAAATCTAGAATTAATCTTCGCTGACTGCTTACCTAAAAATAAGACTCACCTAAAGAGTGTCCCCAGATCAGGACCATAGGTCTTCTTTCCCGGTTGACAGATTCTAGAATCCAAGAGTAAACGTGCAGCGTGTCTTCAACTACACCTCTCTCAGTCGGTCTCACGCGTGTCGAGTCACCATATCCTGATAGATTATTTAATACTGATATAATATAACTGTTTGTATAGCAGCATGCATATGCTTTTAAATACAACATTAATTATACTGTCCATCAGACCGAATTTCGGTCACGGTGGCCCGTTCAACGCAGATTAGCCATCGGCGTAGAATAAGATTATAGCGTCCGAGTGTAAGCGCAAGCACAGGTGCACACTCTATTCCCTCACTCTCATAGTCGTAGCTGTGACGGTATTTCGACACTACCGTAGAGGCCGCTAACCAACCTGACTCCTAGCAGCTACCGAAAATTTCTAGACAGAACAACCCAATAACTGATTTTCGGTCTGACTCCAAATTCTTTACCAATCGCGCTTACAAACACTAGGCCAATGAGGCAGTTAAGGTGTGCTGCAAACATTACTGCTGCAGCGTGGTTTTCTTGCTGCAGAATGGGGTCGCAGTGGCGTATTTTAGAGTTCCAACATTACGGCCATCTAGCTAACGAGGAAATCAAGTAAAAATAGTTTGACATTAGAGAGGCATCACAGTGCCATCTCTCTGTCAAATCACTATATTTCTTGTGATGCATGTGATTATCTAAATTTAAGCTCATTTCAGAATATAGTTTCTTTCTATATAGAGCCACGCTGCAGCTATATTATGGTTGCAGCACGAAAGGGTCGGCTCGACCGGAGACGGACAACGCTCTCACAGAATACGAGTACCAGCGTAAAATAGCAGCTTTACGCTGCTGTGTTTCGTATGGTGAGTGTAGAGAACCGGAGACCCGTTACACTGAAATTGAGGCATTCCATCTTAATCTTAATCGAGGTTAAATGTAGATGTCTATAGCCTACAGCATCCACTTACCATCAGGTGGACTGTGTGCTCGTCTGTCACCCTAATTCTATTTTAAAAAAAATTGTGTTACTTGTGGGATTTTTAAAATAGTAATAAAATACATATTATACAACATGTAATAAAAACCCTGTGGTTTCCGTTAAGTGCGTTATCAGAATCAGTATTGGATACTGATATCCAAGCGTATAGAAATAGTTTTTTTTTTCAAAAAAAAAAACACATAAAAAATTCTTTTAATTCAAAAAAACTTAATTTGCAAATTGTACGTAGTTTAATTATCTCTGCATTGGTCTAGGAGTAAGAGGATTGTCAAAGACCCCGCATTACCGATACTCATGTGAGTAAGAGGAAATCAAACCACATACAATTTGAAAATAATTTTTTTAATTAAATTACAAAAAATATGGTCGAGTTTTCTGAAAAAAATATTTCTATACGCTTGAATAATGATTCTGATAACGCAGTTAACGAGAACCACAGGGTTTTTGCTACATGTTGTATAAAAAGCGTGGGTTTTCTTATACCACCACTACACTGAAAATCATTGATATTTATTGTTCATTGGTATTGGCATCAAGTAGGATTTGCGGTTTGAAGTCCAGATACCAGAGATAACATACATTCTCTGGCAGAGTCAAAGGTCATCTGATACTGAGATCAATTTGCCTACCAAGCCTGATTATTACGACAAATTCTCCTTGCGATGGAAGAAATCCATGTCCGATAGAGGATTTTTAAGGATTAATGAAGAAGAACATGAGTCCAAACGCAAACCTCATTTTTAACCTATCCGGATTTTATAATCTAACCGGGTATATTTTTTCTTATATCACCAAAGGAACAGGTAAAAATTAGATAGTTTCATCTATACTTACCCCTGTAATCGAATGTAATGACATGGAAGTTCAGTTCTTGAAAGATTTTATACATCTGCAGCCGGTGGGGAGACGCTCTGTGGTTGGAATTGCCTGAAGGATGATGCGTAAAAAATATTTTGATTGAATACTAGAACTACTACGACTTTATACGTGGTAGAGCCACGCTGCAGCTTTATTACGATTGTGGCATGAATAGGTCGACTCGACCGCTGTAGGAGTTCACTTTCACAGAATATCAGCGCAAAATAGCAGCTTAATACTGCTGTGTTTCGTATTGTGAGTGTAGAGATCCGGAGACCCTTTTTTACTGGAAACGAGGCATTACATCTTAGTCCTCAGGGGTGACAACGCATCTGCGTTTTTAATGAAGAATAAATGTAGATGTCTGTGGGCCACAGCATATACTTACCATCAGGTGAACTGTGTGCTAGATTGTCACCCTTATTCTATATATAAAAGGTAAATTATACTTTGGCACCGTCAAATGATTTTTAATGTATCTATTTCTTCTAAACCAATTAGAGAATTACTTAAATAATTATCTGAGAATTATTTTGTTTTAACAATAATAATTATAAAATGATATATGTAATTTCCTTGAATTACTTTAAATAATTTTGTAACAATACATTTTTAAACTTACGGTACGGTACGGTTACTTATTATAATGTTAATTTGTTCAATTACATACATACATGAGCTTGCTGACGCTACCTGTAATTACGCACACAAGAACGATTGTCTATACACGTAACCACAAGCAAGGTTCGCCCGCTTTCGTGAGTTAAACCATATGTATTGAATTTAAAAGGACTACTCGTGCAATGCTAGTGATATAATTTGTTTTAATAAAGTCCTAGATATAATAAGGATTATTTACCATGGCAATAAAGTACGACGGTGTTCTGAGTCCTCTTTAACTCCTTGAGGAGTCGCGTATTTGAGTCTAGGTGATCACGAACAACAAACAACTCCTTGAATAGACAGCTGGGTACTATATGCCAAACTCCTAGAAAATAACACGATTTTAGAATAGAAATTAAGTGAAAAGAGTTTGAGATTTAAACTCATAGCTTATTCAATCATTTTAGTCGCCCGCTTGCATCCATCCAGTTTAGTTAAACACCAGCCTATAAAAGGCCACTCCTAAACATATTTTCAAGTTCATAGTCGTTACCAGAAGATGCTGCTGCCCATATCCTGTTACATATTCCCTCTGTCGACGACACCCTCGGGACTATATGGGGTTGTAGATATTCTTACGCCGCCACTTCACGGTTTTTATTCAGTCAGACTACAGCAACCTTAGTTCCGTTTGGAATATATCTGTTTTCTAGGTAGTAGGACACTGAAGAGTGAACCCTGCTTTAATTTCTTTTATAGTATTGGGTGACAAAGGAACTCACAGTCCACCCGATGGTAAGTGGTTACTGCGGCCCATAGACATCTACATCTATTTTCGATTACGAATCAAAACGCAGATGCGTTGTCGCACATGAGGACTAAGATGGAATGGCTCGTTAAGCTAAAACATTAACATTAAACATTAAGCTACTATTTTATGGTGGTATTCTGCGAGAGCGTGGTCCTTCCCGGGTTGAGCCAACCCATTCATGCTACAAGTATAATACAAAAATAACTGCAGCATGGCTCTACCACGTAATAAAACACGTATTATAGTGGGTTTTGTAGTTGAAGTCCATCATAGTCCATCTGGTTCTGGAGCTAGAGTCAATATAATTACTGACTGGAGGCATAGTCCTCCGGGATCGCTCGCAACTGTAGCCTTTTTCTTTCAAGCTGTCCATGGGCTGCAGAAGCCACTTACCATCAGGTAGACTGTACGTTCCACTCTCAGATTCCACTCTGTTTCGTTCGTTTTTCATTTAAGTTTTATAAAAATAAATTGTAAAAAGCAAAGAAAAATAACAACATATATACGTTCTTCCGCTGGGCACAGACTGCCTATGATCTGATACCATTGATGACATATTAATGATGAGAAATCATCTTAAGTCCTTGTGAAGATACATAACGAGCTATGGAGAGGACTATGATGACAGTTTTTCTGTGTGATAGTATCCATAAAGATGATATCCGCAGAAGAACCAGAGATCGACTTAGTCCAATGGAATAGTAAGTTTGGAGTGGTAGATATATGCAAGCCATATAGCTAGAACCAACAACTGGGTAAGATGTAGCAGCAGTCACTTATAAAAATGGTAAGAACATAAAGTTTGGTCTAATAGCCATTGACTACTTTACCATGAACTGAGATGTGTATAGTTTATCTTGCTAATATAGAATTATAAATGTACTATTTACCCAATTTAATAGTACAGTGGTCCTCTTTTGAATGAAACTCGATATTAAAATTTCTCGCTCCAACAATGTTACAGCTCGAAGGCTTGTTGTAATCTAAGTTTCTTGGATAGTTTACTGAAAATTAACAGATTAGAAAATAATTGGCGTACGAGTAATATTGACAATCCTCCAGTCTCGTTCTCCTCGGAACTATCGTAAGACGCCGCCATCTTGTATGTGAAGTGTCAGATGTGAAATATTCAGATTGACAACGGGAAACATTGCCGAAGATGCGAGACGTTTGGTTCTGCGATTTCAAATTCTCATACCAAGTTTTCCAGTATACCTGCTCTCCTCTTTGCAATGGAACTAAACTAAATTCAACAGACTTTTACGGTTTTATTTTAAAAACCGTAAAAGTCTGTTGGGATTAAATAATATTTTTCTTAAACTATTTTAAAATAAGTTGATAGATGTATTTAAAAATAATTGATATTTAAACGCCTGTAGGAAAAATAATAGCAATAGAGTTTTCTTAAACTTATGCAGGAGATTTTTACTAGGAAACTTTTTTATAATATAACAATTTGTTTTTTTTTTAAATAATCGTCACTTCTCACGTCAAAGGCGTTTACTCATGAGTACTATTAGTTCTTTGTTTAACTGTATTAAAAATGTATTAAAAACTGTATTAAAAATTGAGGGGTCTGTTTATTAATATCAAAATAACAGTTATTTACAAAATGCATATGAAAGTATATACTGTAATTATAACAAAAAAAATTTTTTTTTTGATATTTTTGTCTGTCAGTTTGTTCCGGCTAATCTCCGAAAATGTTTGACTGATTTCGACGGGACTTCCACTGGCAGATAGCTGATATCATAAGGAGTAACTTAGGCTACTTTTATTTTACAAAAGCAATAACATATTCACGCAAAACAATTAAAACCCATGGCATCTAATCTTAATAAATGCACGCGGAATATATTAAAATATAGATAATAATAAATTCGGTGGGAACAGCTAGTGACGAGTAGATGTACAACACTAATTTAAAAAAAATATGGAGACAAAATGGTAAGTAGTTGCTATGGCACATAGACATCTACATCTATCCTCGATTACGAATCAAAATGCAGATGCGTTTTCACCCCTGACGACTAAGATAGAATGCCTCGCTCCCAGTAAAAACTAACTAAACTAACTAAAACTAGTGCTGATCCTTTTTGATAAGGTAGATTTAATAGGTGTGACTCCTGTTTTGCATGTCTAGCTGGTTAACACCTTCTTATCTATTCCTGCATAAACAGCAGTGTGGGCACTGCTGTGTTCCTCCCTGCAGATAGAGCCAGTATAACTACATGTTGTGAGGCATTTCATCTCAGTCCTCAGAGGTGACAACGCATCTGATTGTCAACGCCTTCAATGTTTGAAGTCGGCCACAGCTGTCTATGGACCGCAGTGGCCACTTACGCTCAGTTGGATTAGTTTCTTTGTCACTTGAGTCCCTTAAAAGCAATCGTACCATGTAGGTACTTTAAATATTACACTTGTTTACTTACTACAGTTGGAGAACACCATTTTCCTCTGCACCGACTTGCTATATTTAAACAGTAGTGGCAGGACTGCCATCTGAATCACGAGGAATCCGGCGGTCAAGGACGCCCCCGTCATTAAAATGGCGCTAAAATGCAAACACCGCTCTATTATAATAGTACATCATCGAACTGATATAGCTGGATTGGACTCGAAATCATAAAATATGACACCTTATGTTTCCCTTGTGGTTGTGGTGGCGGTGGAAGAGATACCACATCATCCTATAATATTTTCTCGTGGATGTCGTAAAACGCAACTTTAGGAAACGCCATTATCAAAAAAATCTTATGGCTTTCGATAGATGGCGCTATATTGATCTCTAAAGATTTATTTGATGTAATGTAACAAACGAGGTTATAACCTCGTTTGTTACATTAGATGTAAAATACCCACACCAGCAACGAGAAGCAGAACGAAGGTGCGAGACGACTGGCCTAATCCTGATCGTGACAATTAAGATATATCCTCCCTACGAAGGAGAAACCCATGTTCAGTAGTGGGGTTTTACCTGCCGATCCAGAAGAAAGAAAGTTGTCATAGAAACTTGCTTACTTGATTGAACTTACACTCGTCAGACATAAGTATTTTATATAGGCTTTTAAATGAGCCAATATTGGTAGATGGCTGTCGTTGCGAATGAAGCCTGCAACTTTTTTATTTGTATATTTTATATAATATACGGTACTTTAACAGTATGTATTGATAACATCGCGCGACTTATACGTTCCTACGTTTTATTTAATCACAACTTACCCCAACACCATGATTCATTATTCCCTGAAAATTTCCAAAGTTAAATTGTTCATTTTGTTATATTTTACTAAACATTTTTATGAATTTCGATTCTGTTCTAAAGTACATTATACCGAATAACACGGCATGGCAGACGTCATTGTGACAGAAGAACATTTTTTATGCTTATCATAAAAAGTTAATTTTGTCTGTGATATTTATTGCATCTTACAACTGACCTTAGACCTTCATATGCAATGCGTCTGGTAATCGGTGTCGGAGACTTTGAGGGGTTGAAATACGGTAAATTTTATCGACAAATCACAATCCCTATTTTTTTCTCTCTCCATGATGAAATGGCAGCCATTTTGTTTATGTTTTTTTTGCCTCCAGACACGGGTGCTTGTACTGATTAAGCCATAGCTATCCATGTAGGAGTCCTAGGAAAACGAAAGAGCAGAGATCCGTTTGACAGCTAATAATGTAGACAGTTAATCAATGATAACAATTTTTGTCCTTTCTTTTTATAAAAGAGCAAAAGAGAATTTTTAAAACAAACATAAGTTTTTATTTTACTTTTTTTTTTTTTAAATTATTAGCTTTTTCATAAAATTTAAACCGTCAAGCTACACGTTTCTTATTTTTAAACGTTAGTACGGAATGTGTGCTTAAAAGTAAGCCCTTCATCTTAGCCCTAAGTAAGATATTTTAGAAGCTATGACGGTTTGAATATGACCCTCGGAAGCTTAAATATCCCGCTAATAAAGAACAAGACCCACGATTTCGAGAAATTTCAAGGGTGTATTTTACACAATGCTGTGTTTTGTAAGAGCATGTAAGAAAAGGAAGTGTTATTAGGTAAGAGTGAGACATCAATAATCTATACAAAATTCTCTATCCTGTGGTCTAAACAAAAGTCAGGTTTTCATCATTACAAAAAGATTTTATTGTATTTGATAACAAAAAAAAAACATACCAAGCGGACGTCGGCAGCGTAAAATTCACAATTATTTCTATATATTACTCGAAATTATTTACAAAAAACAACAATAATATTCACATAAAAATGGTGTGGAAAATGAACGTAGATTATAAATAAATATCCACAGACGAACTGAATTTTTATTCCACTAAAGGATAGAAAATTTCATATTGATTCCATAATGCCAAACATCTTCATAGAAAAGTAGTCTCTAAATATAAGTATTTATGGGTTTAAGTGCTGTGCGGTGCGGTCAAACTTGACCTCTTGAATTTTAACGGAATATCGCCGCGGTTAAATTTGGACGCTTGGTAGGTAAGAGGTTAATTGTCCACATTATTAACTATCAAACAGGTCTCTGCTCTTTCGTTTTCCTAGGACTTCTACATCGATAGCTATGGCTTATTTAGTACAAGCACCCATGCCTCGAGGCAAAAAATAGGGATAGTGATTTGTCCATAAAATTTACCGTATTTCAGCCTCCAAAGTCTCCGACACCGATCACCAGACGCATTGTATACTTGTATACATATATAGAGGTCAGTGCATCGAACCCAGAGCACAAGAGGTAGTCTAATTTATGGATCTCTTGTATTCTTGATAGTAAAATGAACAAGTCTTTTACTGTACAGGCCGTTCGTTTATGGAATGAACTCCTATTGGCAGTAAAACGCGCACCATCCCTACCGGTATTTAAGGACGCGTTTGCAAATCAACCAAAATTAGGGTGTTTTTCGGTAGATTTTGTGACAAAACTAAACCAAATCAAATATAAGTAAAAACTACCATGTATAGATTGGTTCTTCATCTGCAAATGTCTGTAACTCTTTTGTTGAAAATAGTAGTTTTTTATATTGTAAAAACGAACTTTCGTTGCCATTTTCTACAAAATTAACGATACCGGCTTGTGTTTCGGTAGATGTTTTGGTCTATTATCAACATATTTAAAAATTTAAAAAATACTATAAGATGACAGACATATTCAATTAAAAAACCCTGGGTTTATTTTTTAACAAAATGTCACAAATAGTCGTAAAAAAAATAAAAACTGATGCACATTTTTTCACATATTTTGGTAATATGGATGAATCATAATGTATTGCAATAAGGGCTATTTTATTGTTGGTGCCTGCTTTGATTTATTGTACAAAGATTTCGATGAAACCACAGTCCGCGCTCGGCCGCCGTCGTGAGTGGACACTGTATCGCCTGTTTGCAGCGGCTCATTCTGAAAAGATCGCTGTACATACACAAAATATTAGAAAAAAACAAATTGGAAACATAAGTACTTGACAAGTGATAAAATTATTATTTTTATACTCACAGTTTTTATTTAGCTAAAAATAAGTAGGATATATAAACTTACCTACTACTGCAACTCGTGGACGAGCGGAACTAGGTGTGCCGAGTTTGGGCTCGTTTTGTTGGTATGATGAGACCTTACCTCTGGACTTGATGGCATGACCTGAAGGTGTACTTTCGTGACCGCTATTTGAACTTCTTGCAGAGTAAAACTAGGGGTGACGAATTTGGGCTCCGTTTTGTTAGTTATGACGAGTCCATACCTCCGGACTTGATGGAGTGACCTGAAGGTGTAGTTCAGTGATTACAAGTGGAACTCCTAGACTTGTAGAACTAGGTGTGCCGAGTTTGGGTTCGTTTTGTTAGTTACGATGAGACCTTACCACCGGACTTGATTGAGTGACCTGAAGGTGTAATCAGGTGGTTACAAATGGAATTCCTAGACTAGTAGAACTAGGTGTGACGAGTTTGGGTTCGTTTTGTTAGTTACGATGAGACCTTACCACCGGACTTGATAGAGTGACCTGAAGGGGTAATTCAGTAACTACTGCTGAAATTTCTGTAGTTAAGTAAACGCGTCCTTAAAGAACTGGTAAAGAAACTTTACTTTATATATATATGTATATATATATATATATATATATATAATGTGTAGTATATTGATTGCATTTAATTAAATATATTTATTTTTTTGTATGTATATACCTTTTTAGTATATTATGTATGTATATTATATATATATATATATATATATATATATATATATATATATATATATATATATATATATATATATATATATGAAATGTGTATTCTTTTTTTATCACACCAATTTGCCCTATCCCTGTCATCTTTGTTTAACCCTATCTCTTCATTGGTTGTCTGGAAGAAAGTACTATCAGCAATAAGACCGCCCATTGACTACTTCTTTTGTATATAATTTGTATTTTTCTAAAGTATTATAAGAATATTAAATAAATAAATAGATTTTATCAAATTTACAAGTGATAAAATGTGGCGAACAATTTTCTTACGCCACTCCCACATGGTAACAGTTGTCTAAGGTGAAATGCCTCGTTACCAGACATCTTGTTACGTAAAATGTCCGTCCCATTCGTACTACAATCACCTATAGCTGCAGCATGGCTCTACCACGTATTAAATATTTACTTGTGGCGGCCGACGACGGTGCTGCCAGATTTTAAGAAACTGCTAAATTTTGAGCAAATTGTAGTAAAGTAAAATTATGTACTTTAAATAACTATTACATTTTTATATTTATAACCTTTTCATTTTTTTTGATAATGTTATTACAGTACTGTATCTATGTGCCCTGGACCGGACAGGGTTTTCTTTAAGTATTGTATATGCGCGGAAAATAATGAAGCAGAAAAATTGTGCGCGAGCGTGTCGGTGTGTGTGTGTGTGTGTGTGTGAGAGAGAGAGAGTGCGAGCGTGCAGTGTGTTTGTGTGTGTAAATCTGAACAACTTGCTCGGTAGGGAATTTTCTCCTTTCCGTGGATGGCCAGTGCTATAGCAATGCTCCTAACCGATGTAACGCTTAGGGGATAAGATTATAGGTTGGTTCAGGATCAAAAACACGTGGAGAATCACAAGTAAATATTTATTTAACTGAAAATAAAATTCCGTTTGTTATCATAGTTTAATAGTTAATACATAACCATTATTATTAAATCATACCAAATTAAAATATCCCAAATACTATAATAATGTCCTAAAATACTAAATACTAATACGTCATACATAATTAAAAATATTTATTGACTGTTTTTATTGTTTGGGGGCGTCCATTAATATGTGAGGTATCTTGGCGACTTTTCACCCTCCACTCAATCTGATGAGATGTCGTGAGATATGGCTTAACTTCCTCACCTCCCCCTTCGTCCATAAATCTCACATGACATTTTTCAAAATACGCTAATCTGTGCTTCATTACGTTGATTATTAAAAAAAAACATAACTTGCTTAATTACTTTTATATAATTTGTGCAGTAACCGTAACCACGATAAATGTAATAAAAAATATATGATATTTGCCGAGACCCCTACCTCACCCCACGTGAGATTGGGTGAGATTCGGCTCGACCCCATCCCCCCCTCCCCCTAAACAAAACACGTAGTTAATGGATGCCCTGTTTACTTTTATTCTATATTCAGTTTGAGTGAACTAAACAATATCACAAGCACAATGTAATAATGTAACAACTAGAAACTACTCGCCTAAATAAGTTACTTATTTTTCCAGTCTTGGTGGAATTTTTCCTTTAAAATTAAATTGGACCCCTCTATAGCCTCTATATAAGAGAGAATCATTGAAATCGGTTCAGCCAGTTTTCGAGAAATTGGTGAACATTCATAAAAAACATATATATGTCCATTGAAGAACCTCTTACTTTTAAGACGTTCTTTTATTGTAAATAGAGTTCAGAATCTCTCACATTGACGAGTGCTTATTAAGAAATAATAAATGTTTGAAAACAATTTTTCAACACAAAAAAAACATCATTGTGAAATAAAATAGTTTTTGCTAAAAAAACGATTTATTAAACTAAAGAATAATAATTTTGTATCATAAAAGTATGACGTCTTCTGCTCGTCGAAGTGCTATTTACTAAAGGTAGTCTTCTACTTTATTCACAGGTGATTCTTCACGAAGTCACTGGAAGAAATATTATATTATAATATTAAAGGTATATTTGAACTATTGTTATATTACTCTATTATAGT